TGGCAAAAGGCATGAAAGGCTTGATAGCAGGAACTGGAGATTGGCTGACCACATTGATTCTGCACTCAGGAAACAGAGCCAACAGAAAGCAAGTGGGGCCTGGCTCTAAACCCTAATACAGCTCTAGTGATGTACTTCCTCTAGCATGGCTTCACTATCTAAATGTTCCACAATGTTCCCAAACAGCGCCACCTGCTGGAAGCAAATGTTTAAACACACGAGCCTGTGGGGGACACTTAACTTCAAACCACAAGGACGTATAGCAACCTGATAAGGGGCCTCGAAATGGAGAGGGGCTGTGGTGGGGTGTGTGGGGGTGGAGCTGACAGGACTGTGCTCCAGCATAACCTTTTGGAGTGCTTCAGATTTTTAATTATCTCATATTTTACTCCTCATTCAAAGACACATATTGTAAAACTCTAAACACATTTAAACACACTTGGCTATGTAAAGTAAGGAGAGAAGGTACTGGCACACCCAAGAGTGCAGGCAGACATCAGGTACTGAAAGGCCCAGGGTGACTGAGTGATGGATGAGCAGGTAGGCATGAAAGAGCAACCACAGAACTTGCTGCCTGGGGACCACAGAGAGTCACAGGCTGCGCCTCTATGCTTGGTTTCTTTGGGGGGGGTGATTATTGCTCCCATTTGTTTTCAGGCCCAGGGCTGCAGCAGCAGCCACGAATCAGGTGTATGAAATGAACAAATTACCCTTGCTGGTCCAGGAGGCCAGAAGTTCAGAGTGTTTTCAGGGCTGCCTTTTCTGGAAGCCCTGAGGGAAAAATAGCGTTTCCTCCATTGCTATTACATCACTTCATCTCGGCTGCCTCGACACATGGTCTTTTACTATTAATCTCTGTGTCTCATGTCTCCCTCTTGTCTCTTCTAAAGGCATAAGGACCCTGAAGAGGGCCCACCCTTATCACAGAAGATATTGTTGCAAGATCCTAATCTTAATCATTGCAACCCCCATCTTTGAGATTTTACTTTCTACATATTCTTTCTTTCTTTCTTTCTTTCTTTCTTTCTTTCTTTCTTTCTTTCTTTCTTTCTTTCTTTTTCTTTTGTTTTTCCAAGACAAGGTTTCTCTGTCCTGGACTCACTTTGTAGACCAGGCTGGCCTCTAACTCAGTGAGATCCGCCTGCCTCTGCCTCCCCAGGTGCTGGGATTACAGGCATGTGCCACTATACCCAGCTTTAACTTTCTGCATTTTCAACTGCCCACTGTCAACCAAGGTCCAGAAATGTTAAATGGAAAACTCCAGAAATAAGTAATTCAGGAATGTCAAATTACACACCATCCTGAGTTGTGTGATGAAGTCTCCCATCATCCTGCCTGCTGAGTTCATGAACCATCCCTTTGTTCAATGCATCCATACTGTATTTGCTAACCCCCTGCTAGTTGCCTAGCGATTCTCTCAGATACCACATTGGTTGTCATGATACCTCAGTGCTGATACTCAAGTAAAAAGATAGATAAAAATGAGAGAACATGATAAGACATTCTGAGAGATAAAGAGCCCATTTACTTAACATTTATTACAATATTAAATATATTTAATAGCTGCTGTTTATTTCTCACTGTGTTTAATCTACAAGCCAAACTTTATCATAGGCATGTGTCTTACTTAGGCCTGTTATTACTGTGATAAAACACCATGAGGAAATAAATTTGGGGAGGAAAGGGTTTATTTGGCTTACACTTCCACAGCACTATTCATCACTGAAGGAAGTCAGGACATCCTGGAAGCAGGAGCTGTTACAGAAGCCATCCGGAGGTGCTGCTTACTGGCTTGCTCAGCCTGTTTTCAACCCAGGACCACCAGCCCAGGGATGGCATCACCCACAATGGGCCGAACCCTCTCCTATCAATCACTAAGAAAATTCCTTAGAGCTGGATATTATGGATGCATTTTCTCAGTTGAGGTTCCCTCCTTTCAGATAATTCCAGCTTGTGTTTACAATATGCTTTTATTTACAAATGCAATTGTGTAAATTTGGTGTATGTGGAATGGCTTATGCATATATGGGATTAGATACTATCTATCCAAAGCTTCAGGTGTCCACTGGGGTCTTGAAAAACATTCTGTAGCAGATAAAGAACTGCTGGGCACTGCAAAGACCCTATTTTCATTCCCAGAAACCAAACACTAAGACCTAAACATATCTTTTTGAGGAAACCAGTCAGATACACTATGTCATTTTGTAGCTTGAGGTGAAGGTTCAAGGAGAGCCCCTCATCCACCAGAAGCCACAGAGCCTGTTCAGCACAGTCCTGAACGTCCTCCCATGACAGACCTGGACATAAGGGATGGGCCACCTTCCTGCTTGAAGCCTACCATGCCACTCAGCGCCTGCACAGCCAACTCACAAGAGACCACGCTCAACAGCAGGCAACACACAAATGCGGCCCCCTTATGGCCTTGCTTATCTGCCTGCCCTCTGCTGGGACCCAACAAAAGATTATACTGTTTCCCTGGGCCGTGGGAAGGAGCTGGGTGGTGACCTGCCTGTGTCTCAGATCAGATGGGGATCCAAGCTACAGAGGGCCCTCTGAGTCTCCAGAGCCCTAAAGTCTGCAAGGCCCTTTGATCAGAGCTTTGAAGAGAGAACGAGAGAGTGAATGCAGGCAGTGGTGTGGCAGTGAAGAGCCTTTCTGGTCTCAGGCAATGCATACCAGACTGCTGGGACTTTGTGTTGATAAAGGACTCAAAGGGCTTAAGTTGGAACTTAGGCTGGGGTGGCAAGATGTGGACACAGGCAGGCAGTGGGTCCCGTGAGACAATACTGCTATATCCCTAGAGTTGCACGGACCGAAGCATCACAGCCAGGTGCCCTCAGGACACCGGAAGCAAGTGCCCCTCACCAACTCTGCCTCCTCCTCCTCTCTCCACCTCTTTTCCACACTGGAGACTCGCGGACATTCTGTTAGCAAGTACAGCAGGTAACAGTCATGTTGTAGGCCACACCTCCAAATATCAACAATCAAAATTTACCCTAGGCTTTTTTTTTTTTTTTTTTTTTTTTTTAAATTTCACTCCATAACAGTTTAGAAATTCAAAATGCCGGTTGCAAAGCTATATCTCGTGAATGGCTGTGCATCCCAGTTTCAAAACACACCTGCAGGGGCTGGAGAGCTAGCTCTGTGGTGACGAGTGCCTGCTACTCTTCCTGGGGACGGGAGTTTGATTCCCAGCACCCATTTCATGAGACTTAAAAAACTCCCTCTGACTTTAACCCCAGGGGGTCTATTGTCCTCTTCTGGCTTCTGAAGGTGTCTGTGTGCATACAGACACACACTCACACACACAAACTAAATCTTAAAACAAACAAACAAACAAACAATGCACACTTACTCACATAAGTCACATGAATGTAAAAGGGTCCCTTGGTATCCATGGGATACCAAGTGCTTCAGCGATCCTGTCCATTCTCCTACAGGGCGCTTAACTCCTTTATAGAAAACAGCATTGTATTTGCATGTACGTTTACATAGCATTTGCATATGCATTATATTTGCCCAGGCTATGCACCACTTTGTGTGTATTTAAATCATCTCAAGATGACCATCATATACAAGTAGCTGTTATATTATAGTTGTTCGAAAGTGACAGGGTATTGTTACCCCTATTTGGCTGAATCCCTGGTTAATCCATAGATCAGAGCCCACAGAAATGGACTAAACACAACACAGCAGTCCGAAAGAATGAAGGAAGAAAAGAAAGATAAACTCATTTTACACATTTTGTAGGTCATCCAAAAATTCATTTGTGGGTCTAAATGCCCCCCCCCCCGATTTAAATATAATTTCTGAATTCTGCCCACGAATGTCACTGCTGGTCATGTTCTTTTTCCTCCGTGTCTACTAAAGGCTCAGACTCAACTGTAAAGTCTTCCGCCGAGTCCAGAGACAGAATCTCCCATCAGATCCACCTTTGCAGAGGAAGCTACCATCCCGAGACATGGATGGTTTCTGGGTGCCTCAAGGTGAACTGGGAGATGCTGGTGGGGAAACCCTTAGGTGACGGTGTGCTAGCCCCACAGTATAGGACCCAGGTTCAGATCTCATGCTCAAAGTCCTGTGGCTCAGCAGTGGCCGTCATCCCCTGGCTGGGGAGGCAAACACGCGTGGATCCTGGAGCTCTCGGTCAGCCAGCAGAGGTCCAAATTCAGTGAGAAAGACCCTTTCTCAAAAGCTAAGGTGGACAGTGTCTGGAGAAGACACCCACCATCAACCTCTGCCCTCCACATACATGTGCATATACACATGAACACATACATACTCACACCTGAATAGAAAACCCTTCTAGCATGAGACATGTTGCCATGAGCCTCTCCCTTTTCATGTCACACAGCATCCTTTGCAAGGATCGGTCTAACATTGAAAGCCCAGGGTAGAAACTCTACACCAAACTCTTTGTCATGGTTACACGGCACTCTGTGCTCTCATTCCCATGACGCACCATGCCTGGGCTGCTCGGAAGCCCTGGTTTTTATCTATGCTCCTCCCACTCCACACCAGCAAAACAGAGAAACTTGATGACCCAAATGTCCCAGATTGACTTTTCTGGTCCCATCCTCTCCCTCTACCCAAAGTGGTAACGACAAAAACAAAATGCGGGTTCACCAGCCCTGTGCCAGTCAGAGCTCAGCTCGCAGCAATGACGGAGCAGGAAGCGTGGCTCCTTGGGCTTATTCCGCTGACTCATTCAGAGGGCTGGTGCTTTCCTACCATCAAGCCTTTATTCAAAGGCAGTTTTAGTATTCCCCAGCAGTGCCACTGATCAAAACACAGCAGCCCGTGTGGCTGGGGTGTGACAAAGCAGCTTCCAGGGGAAACCAAGAAGGAGAGGTAGCAAGGTGGTCCCCAGAGAGCCACAGCCTGGACTACCAGACCATGCTCTTGATTAAGGGCGACCTGAACATTTCACAACCGTATGGCAGAGAGAAGGGCCAGGCCTCCAGAGGTCAAAAGCCAGCAAGGAATGAATCATCACTTACCTGGGGGACAGATGCACTCAGAGGGGGCTTCCCGAACTGTCCGGAGCTTGGCGACTCCATCCAACTTCTGAACCGAGAAGACAAAAAATTGGAGGAGAAGATCAGTTGCATAACAGAGAAGTGGGAAACTCCAAAATGGTACCAAATGGTCTACAGTGGCGGTGGTATTTTCCAGAACACTTTTTAAAAGGTCATTAAATTCTACGGGCAGTTTCCTAATGGAAAGCAATAATAAACACTGAACACTTCTGACTATTACTGATGACTCCTCAACAGAAGGTGTCGGGTCTCTGTTCTGTTACACCACGTTCGAGCGTAATAGGAAAAGCAACAGAGGTGGCTTTCTGCCAGGCAAGAGAAGCCAGAGGGAGGGCAGATGAAAGAGGCTTTGGGGCAGGAGTGAATTAAAACTGGCCCTTGCAACAGCCCTCTGAGCTCCCACGAGCTGCCCTCTCCTTACCCAGGAAGCTCCATGAACCCTCTATACCATAGCCTTGGATGTGGGAAACCCTGGCCTAATTCACTATGACATTTTCCTTTCTTCCCTCCCTGGGGTTCCTTGGCCTAGATAATTCGGTTCAGTAGAACTTAACAAAAGTCTCCTTGCATGCACAGCCCTGTGCTGGACATGGGAGAGAAGAAAAGAAATGCCACAGGGCTGGTACGCTACAGCAGTAATGCACGGTGATGACACTGGTGTGATCACGGCCTGATCTGACTTCCTAGCAAATTTCTGCTTGCTGGGAATTGAATCCAGGACCTCCTACCAGCTAAGCACATGCTGCGCCAGACACTGGGCTACCCAGCCATGGTGTGGCTTGTGGGGGCCATAATTAAAGTCATCCCAAGTGAGGAGATGCAAACTTTGAAGAAGCTAGGTTTGGAGAAAAGCAACTGGTCTACCACCTCAGCCCAGATGAGCCAGTCTTTAGTCCTGAAAGGGTACAGAGGGCGTTAACTCTTCTTTTTTTTCAGGTGTGTGCACAGGGGTGGGATGGGGTAGTTAGGAACCCTAAAAGCCAAAAAAAAAAAAAAAAAAAAAAGCAAAGGTACTAACCTGTTAATTTGAATTATAAAGTGCATTTACCAGTATTGGTATTGCTACTTGCGGTTCAAACATAAAGATGCAAATTTAGGAGCTGGAGAGAAGGCTCAGTAGTTAAGAGCACTTGCTGCTCTTACAGAAAACTGACATTGGGCAACTTACAACCACTTGTATGTAACTCCAGCTCCAGGGGATCTGACACCCTCTTCTGGCCTGCTTACACACACACACACACACACACACACACACACACACACACACACACACACACACATACAAACACACATACTTCAAAGGAGAAAAGTTATCTATCTATCTATCTATCTGTGGTGTTGGGGATACAACCTAGACTCATGCTAAATACATGTCTTACCACTGAAGGGTGCTTTCTCCAGCCTGAGAAGTAACTTTATTTGTTTGTTTTTGTTTTTTGACACAGGATTTCTCTGTGTAGCCTTGGCTGTGCTGGACTCGCTTTGTAGACTAGGCTGGCCTCGAACCCACAGAGATCCACCTGCCTCTGCCTGCCGAGTGCTGGGATTACAGGCATGTGCCACCACACCCAGCTGAGGAGTAATTTTTAAGCACTGTTCTACAGGAAAGTGAAAAGAGATCAAGGGAACAGGGCAAGCAAGGTTCGACACTTGATCCAACAAAATCACGCTTCTGAGCTTTCCGCTGGGTCCATTTTGCACTTCCTTGTAAAATTCAGTGCTAGACACAAACCCTGCTATGTCAGCTTAACAGCCCCCCACCCCAACACCTGCCCCAGCCTGACCATTCCAGAATTCTGATGGGCGTCCCCTCACTCTCCATCAACCCCAGGTGATGTCTGCTCACCCTGGCCTGCCTTTGGTAAAAGTCCTGTTGTTTAAAAGGACACCTTGTGTGTGTGTGTGTGTGTGTGTGTGTGTGTGTGTGTGTGTGTGTGT